TGTGTTATAAAATACAAAACCCACATGTATATATATGATCGTTTCTCTTTTAGTTGACAAAATTATTACATTTTACTGTTCACATACTATTATAGAGTAGTCGAGTGCTATAGTGTTTGATTTGAAAAGAATTTTTAACTGTTGTTGTAAACACTATTTTTAGTCTTCAAAAATCGCTTTGTGTGCAAATCGTGGGCCATCAGTATATGGAGTCGTCCTTTTTCACCCAATATTGTGAATTTGACGAAAAATGATACGTTGAAGCAAAAATTTAGATATTATTTACTGTATGATTAAACGCAATGCATGTATCGACTGTTGCAAAATTTTAAATCATGGCTTTTTACAATAGATAACGATAAAAATGGCGATGTGTAAAGGCTTGAATTGTAAACAAGGGTTTTGATTACCTCCCTTTACCCGTACAGTACAGAACGTGAGACTATGATACGAAGCTTGTTAATATATACACAACTACACAATTTTGTTATTTTAGGTAGAATATGTTTAGAATGAACATAAAATCTGTTTTCTGAACTAATAAATATAGTTAACTATTTAATCAGTATTTGATAAGATTACACTTTAAAAGGATTTTAAGCCAATTTTTCTATTAAAGCTGACACGATGTGTTTAGAAGAATAAACTTTGCCATTTTCTCGTCTTGTCTGTTTTGAAACAGTTCTCAAAAAGACATACACTGTTTCTGTATCGTATTTAATTTATCAAAAAACACTTTTATTATCCATAAGACTGCTATCAAGTTATGTTTTGAAAAATGTGTATTTTGCACAATTTTTAGGTATGGATTCAGGCAGCCCAAAATGTGACATAAATGTTCTATGCCTGTGATGATCATTTTAAAAGAAAAATAGAAATGAATTCGGATTTTCTGCTATGGAATAAAATACAGGAATATGGTCTTAGTGGTCTGTAATTGCATCTGCGGTTCAATATAAACCAATTCGGAAAGGTAGTCGAGAAATATCGTAGCCTTTTTCTCTTGATAATTGGCAAATGTATTGAAACTTGAAGGATTTCAATTTGCATAAATACTGGATAAAACTTTACTTTTGTACAGATGCTTACAGTATCAATTATTTTATTTGCATTTACAATAGTATTTGTTTTATTTACAATATCAATTGTTTTATTAAGGTAAATATATCTGTAAAGTCAGCAGAATTGATTAAGTATTGTTTTACTATCAGAACCAATGATCGTGAATCATAATAGTGAATGTAAGTCAAATTCCCCAGGTTTTATTCTAATCCAACTAATTGCTGGTCTGCTTATCACAATTTACACACAAATCTTCATTCATTTCTAGAATGCTGAAGATTTTCAGCCATCTTAAGGAGACTCAGAATAAAATCTTTATTCCAATAAAACGGGGTTTGAGGGATTCGTTTTGGTTATGTCTTGAATTCCTAACTTCACATTCAATGTCTTAAGTTCAAATCTGATGTTGTTAGTTAATTGTTTAAAATGGAAGAGGAGGGGCTGAAAAGTAATCTCCTTTATCTTTTGCTATGTTAGTAGCCCTTGTCCAGCTCGAGGGCATTTCATTGGCTGACCAAAGCTTTAAAATTTTTATCGATATTAAAGCTACATGGAAAATGTATTGAATTTCTTATTAAATGTATTAAAACAACACCCATTCTCTACTGTCATGCAAATTTGATGGGAGATATTGGCAGCGTGAAATATGGCTTAGCTACCTCTCAGCCTATCGTAGAGCAGCATGGGTAGTTTGTATATAGTGGTATAGTGAGTGACGTCACGAGCTAGGCATGCTCAAATAGTTGTGTGTCTCTAGTCCGTCCTGTGTATTGTTGTTTGAGTGATTGATGCAGTAGTGGTTAAAGCTAGCGTTAAACACGACGACGACAACATACAACTATAGTATCTTCTCTCTAGTACTATACAGTATTAACATTGTGACAACAACATTGTGAACACTTCGACAACGTTTTTGCTTCAACATTTTGTCAATGGCAGTATCTAATAGTGGACTATATATTAGAAGTTGTGGTGTTTAAAAAAGTGTAGTTAGTATACGTGGATTTATGTTCGAGCTATCGAAGCACTTTATCTACTAGCTCCTCCCATCTACCTACATTATACCGTGCTACTGTTTTCTACATTCTTCTACTGCCGTCCACTGATTCGGACCTCAGTAGCAAGTCTACAAGATTATAAATGGACTCTTTACATGATCCCTTGTGTTTGGATGAACTTGTTTCTAGTTGTGATACCGGTTCCCAATCAAATATGACCATGCATCATCTCTCAGAAAGTGGGTCCGCTTCGGCGACTAGTGACATTCAATTAATGAATCCTCACAGTTCTAGTCATAAAACATTACATGGTGTGAGTTCGGTGGATGGTTCAGAAAAATCAGGTGAGATTACTAAGCCTTTACAACATCTGTTTCTCGACCTCCTGGTCATTCTAATCGAATTGCATAATTGAATGAATTGGTCTATATATATATGTATTGATAATGTAACGGTCTAGGTAGATTTGTATGTTATTGTCCACTGTCAGCATTATGCAGGCCGTTCAGAGCAGATTTATGCATAGATTGCAAATGCAATGGCAATAAGTGATAGTAAAACGCTACCCGTTTACTTAATCAAAATTTAGGAAGACCTGTACGGTACTATAAAATATATGTTAGTATCGTTTTAAATACTAAAATAAATACTATTGATGTACATAGGACTATTTGGTCAGCTAAGTTGTTAAACTAGATTATTAGTGGATTTACTCTAATCGTATTAATCTTTATAAATATCCTTAGTCAAACTCAATAGTCCGAATACTAGCAAACACATTATACTTGAAAATACACTTATATGGCTGGTAGTTGCCCAAGGTTAGTCAAGCGGATTTTGGCCACAGGGGTTATCGGTTATAGCATTTCAGTTTTTCAATCGTTCAACTTATTTTCAACTTTTACCTTCCAATGAAATATTTGGCTCTTTCTATGGGTTGTACAACATTTGAAAGGTGTTCACCATGACCTTAGTAAAACTGTTAACATATTCCCAAACAGCTATCATAGTTTTTATTTCACAAAATAGTTGAAATTCAGTAGTTAGTGAAGGAGTATTTAGGAAGGGTGTACTATCATACCATAGTTTGTGATAGTATGTGTTTATGTCTAGAATGCTTCATCATGCAAATATCAATGTATCGCTTGATTAGTAATTAAATAAACCATGGTCGAAATGTAGACTATTTCATTTCAATATTCAACATTAAAATTAAGCATAGCTTTAATGATCCCATGCATAAAATGGTACACATGTTAATATTATGCTTGCTGTAATTAGTAAGTTGCAGGTATAATAAAAGTGAAGATAAAGATATATATGAAATTTCAATCAGATCGCTTTACTAATGCTGATAAAATACTAGAATTTCCTCTGTATAACAACCATGGTTATTAATGAATATAATTATATTAGAAGTGTGGCTATACCAATACAAATGTAATTGACCTCGATGCTTAATTAGCTCCACTGATTGTTAGAAATTAACCTCAAGTTGTGATCTATTCACTGTCTGCCATGTTGGTGTCGTCAAGCGGTGTGATGAGCGAGAAATTATTACATTATTAGCTGTGTATTGTTGTCCGTCTCCGTAATTCATTCCTGTCTTGTTTCCGTTAGAAAATAGAATTATCTTCTGGACTAAGATGATTTATCTTATAAACCGGACATATTTCATTTTAAGATGAATTATCAGTATAAATATTTATTTTTTATATGAATATCATTTATATATTATTGATATAGTTTGAAATTGTTTAAACAGTAAATAGAAATATAGAAATTTTAATAAATTATTCAAGCAGAAAATGTTGGAAAATTTCAAGAAAACTTTTCAATTTCAAGAACACTGAGTTTCAATTTTATACAAAAATGTTAAAATTTCCTCAAATATGTTCAGATTTTACATGCTATTTTCGACATAAGTAATAATAATAGTTAAATAATATTGGAATTTATTAGCGCTGTTATTTGTCTGTTGCTCAATAGAAAGTCTTGGAATTAGAATATAAAATTTTCCCCAAAGATCTATAAACAATATTAAGATATATTTAATTTCATTACGAAATTAGAATAAATTTTTTAGAATAAACGCCTTCAAATATTGACCCTATTGAAGTGAATGTCTTGCTAGAGGTGGATAAAGTGTTGTCGGGTAAATGAAGTGGTCATTTCATTATGTGTTAGTCAATTTAAAGGGTCCTTACAAAGGTCTTTGTGGCCGTATAATAGCCGCCTGTAAACACACTTGAAGAAAAAAAATTGTGTGGTAAGAAAACAAATTAAGAAGAAAAGTCAATATTGTAATATAATATAATATAATTATTTATTTCATTTCATTTTTTTTATTTAGAAATTTCATTTAATTAATATTGGAAAATAGAAATATATTAATGTATTGAATTCAATATTTTTAAATAGAAGAATTTTTTGTATAAAATAATTGTAATTATTTAGAAATGAAACGTCTACGTTTATGGTAGCATCAATTAAAATGAGATTGAAAAAACGGTAATATGGAAGCAATCGACATTCGCCCCAATGATCACATTTTTTAAGGGTGAAATTGTCTATTGAATTGTAATTTGAAGAAGGTTTAAATAAGATAGATTATGTAGTATTTTTCAGCCCTATTTACATCGAGTTTCTTTATATTTCTATCAAAATTTGTTTACACACACACAGCTAGGTAACTTGAGTAAATTTTACATAGATTATAGCTAAAAAGACAACACCAATTTTTATTTAAATATAAATAGTTTAAGTTAATTCCTTTAAATTGAACAAAATATCTTTCAAAATTTAAACTTTAATAATCAAAACTATTTTAGGTTTTATCAAGAAAATGAAAGCTTATATTCGAATACATGCCCCGATGTTAAATAGTTTTATTCATAATTTTCAGATTCAAACGATGGTTCAAAATCCAAAGATGATTCAATGTCCGAAGACGATAAAAAGAAAAAAAGACAACGCCGTCAAAGAACCCATTTTACTAGTCAACAACTGCAGGAATTAGAGGCAACTTTTGCCAGGAATCGTTATCCAGATATGGCAACACGTGAAGAAATATCGGCATGGACAAATCTTACAGAAGCACGAGTACGGGTATGTACAAAACATTTTTAAATTTTGATATTTTCACCCTTTACATCAAAATTTACGTTTATATGCATTTTTTGCAACGTTCACATTTTTATAATTTTGCATAGAAAAATTAAATATTCATATTTTGCCGAATACGTCATCTTTTTTTGACGTCTTTATTGGCTAATAAGTCAACAAGGTGTCTATTAACTTTATATATAACACCTGATTTGTGAAGTTATGAATATTAAAATGACTTTAGAATAACCTTTATTTTTACCTTATTAAAATAATTATTAAGGTCGCCATTTTTATGTAATAAATTCAAAACGGTTTTTTTTTGGTCAGAGAAAAAAAGATATAAATTTCAAGACACTCGAATAAGATTATAAGAAATCATTTTAAGATTAAGTATTCAATATGTAAACATGATTTCATTGACAGTTAGAGAATATCAAATCGTGTTATAGGCTTGTCCACTCCGTCCAAATTTACTTATATAGCCGAGAGTGAAATTCGGACAGATCAAGATTAATGTATTTTATTACTTATCTTGCTACATAAATCATTTAGACATCAAACTTGACCAAAATCTATTTATAGCTTTATCAAACCGGGAAAATTATCTACATTCGGTCAAATGAAAAATTGAAATTTTAAGATGCGTAAGTAAATTCGAATTTTAGTCTATGTTGTTTGGACCTTGAACAAGAAATTTCCTTTCCTATTTCCAAATTTCTATATGCGTGTTTGCTTTACTTGACCTGTTACAGAAGTAATATAAACAAGATTTGAATATTTAAAATTTTGGCTTATTAAAAATTTATATTTTAAAGTACTTTACGGTTGTATATTATTATTTATGGAATATATCAATTTATGGAATATAGTTATTTGGAAGATATAATATATTCCACTACTCGATATAATTATAAGAAATTATATAATAATAGAAATATCATACATTATAAAGAGTTGATTAGTATAGCTACAATAGATTATTTAGAATGTTAATGTTTATTAAACAAGTTAATCTAAAATTATATAATTACCATCATTATTATACTAGTCATTATAACAATGAATAATGTGTTAAGAATCTACAGGAATCGTAGAACTGTCCAGGAACCTTTACCACTTGATTCTACAGAATAATTAACAAACTGTTGACTCAGTACTTTTTCGCAAACGGGGTTCTCCAAACTGAGCAATATTTTTTCTAACTTTTGTACATATAGGGGAACATTATATTGTTTTATATATATATATATATATATATAGTTTTCCAGTCAAGGTTTTTGCATAGTAGATAAAAATGTAAACGACTGCGTTTGGTCGAAATGAATTTTACATCTACATTTATAATGAAATGATACGTAAAAATTTAAAAATTCTCATCGCGTTTTCAAGAGACCTTGGAAAATTTGTCAGTTTATATTTTCAAACTTGTGTTGGTAAATAAAACAAATCACGTTGCCAAAGTTACAAAATATTGGCACAGAAACGAAATTTAGTGAAATGTAATGGGAAAGGACAGTATGGTGGGTAACAAATCCAAATTCCAAGTTTAAATTTGAATGATATAGTATATGGGATATTACAAGGAAACGCATAAAACTTGTACCTGGACACGAAGGGTCCCACTATTCTTTTTCATTCTCGACAGTTTGGGTTTCGAGAGCGCAATGCACGATCACCGGGTGCTAGTTTTTTACGGACTGAAACGCGAGTCTAGAGTAATTAAATGTAGAATTGTTATGTTAATATTTAGTTTAATAATTATAATAGATAAACTGTTGATTTTAGAGACTTGTGAAAATTTCTAAATTCCCGATTGACATGTTGAGATTGACATTACTGATTGTAAAACATGGAAAACATTACCTAGTCTGCGCATTTTACAGTCGCGAGAAATTCCTTTCTTGTTTAAATTTTACCACATTTTTTACCGTTTTCATCCCATTTAATAGTTACGAATCGTTTAAATAGTAGGGAAAGACAAATAACAACTTTGTTAGTAACATAAGTAAATTGTAAGTTTTAAAGTATGAACAACTGTTGTACGGGTTAAGAGGTTTAAGAGACAAGTGTATTCAAACGATGTAAAAGTAAAATTATGTAAATAAGAGAAAGAAAAGAACAGTAAAATAACTTAGTACTTATTGTATGCATTTAACTTGTATAGACTCTTACATACTTGCCACATGAGTAGTGGGTCGTTAACTTAAGGGGTGGTAGATTTCGGTTTTGTTTACACCCCAAAATTACAAGAGCACGATTAGTTTGTTAAATGTGTAAAGAGAGAAAACGTGCAGGTGATTTAATGAACCGATCCTGTTGAATATAAGTTGTTATATAGAACTACTGTGTGATTAAACTCAACTTTCACCGATTCTAGCGAGATTAAAGTCCTTGATGACCTGTACCAATTGTCTCGGTTTGTGGTACCAATGTTAACCACGTACCAACTACTATATAGTATCTATCAAGCTATGAACTTGTGTATTGGTTTAGGGTTTTAAATTGAAACTGTTGGTGAAGCTAAACGAATATAGACTTCATCGCATTAAAAATAGTTAACTCTTTCAGCAACGTTAAAATTGGCGTTGTAATTTTGTTTTTCAAGTTTGGAAATCTTGCACGCCTTTACTACAAGAAATAGCAGGGATATACACTCAATGTGTTGTGGTGTTATCGATATCATGGTTAAGATTCCAGACCAAACACAACTGTTTTCTATTGATCTGTTATCAATATCACGTTATGCATTCAAATTACACTTTAAACAGCTTCAACTTGATTGTTGTTAAAAATACATTGACTAAGTAATTACATTTGTACGTTAAACGATTTCCTACTGTTTTATTGTCAACCATGAATATAAAACACGATCATTGAACCCAATGAGTCGTTGAATCGTTTCTAATATTTTCTATAAAGTAATGTCCACTCAAACGACCTGATTATATAAAGTAATGTCATCATATAGATAATATAATTTCTGATAAGATTGCCGTTTTATCTTTGTCACGTGCTTTCAAAGCCTCCGTGGTTCAATTTTAGCAACCCCTTTGGAAAATGCCCTTGTTTGGAAATTAAGAAAAAGGGACATAATAAGGCAATTCAGAACAAAGAAAAGAGTGCAGACAATCAAAAAATTAAGATTGAAAGATTGGACATTTTACAGCAAATGCGTTTAATAAAACGGTAAATTTGAAAGAAAATTGGGAAAATGGCATAAGTCACTTTCTGACTGCCTGGCTGATGCATACTTTTCCCATGCTCCAAATTTCTGTCTGGGCACAAAGAAAATGCAGACATAGCAAATATTTGTTGATTAAAAGTCTTTTTAGAAATATTGAAAGAATTTGCAGATTAACATATAAGGGATAATCTATCACCACACCAAATTGGATTATATGGGGCTTACTTAATAGCAAATTTCTCAAAGAAGAAAGTAGTGCGAAGAGGAAAGATTTTCTCGATTGAATCAACAGTAACTATTTAGAATAGAAATATATTGTCAGTAAGCAGCTGTAATTGATTTTTCACACCTTGGTGATAATGCCTGGTGACAAACGATCACTTTGATCAGTGGTCGTGATTTCAACTCTACGTCATAACATACAATTTCACACCGTTATCATGTTAGTTTTCTTTCTTTCTGGCCAAATTTTATGAATGAATTAATAGTTGAATGTGAAAATAAACTTACATAGTTTAATGTTTATATATATGATGTGGGTAAAGCGGTATTTGACTAATGGTAGTAGGTTTATAAAAGGTGCCGATGCCATAATGTGTGGTTTGGTCTCGCCGTATGATAAACGAGCTCTATTTTATAAAATAAAGCAACATGATAAATTATCTTCGCAATTGATCGTTTATTTCGATTTCTGTTTGATATTAATATCTGAAAATCTCAAAGAAATTTAGAAATAACACACTGCAAACTCCATAAAGATTGGATGTAAAACTCTACGTTTTTAATCAACCTGGTGGAAAATGTCTTGTATATAACGTAAATTGTCTTGTATATAACATATTATATATATAAACTGTTCTATACTTTAAAATCTATTTTATTGGTTTAGATGATCGATCTGAAATTACTTCCAAACTACAAGCATAAATTATATATTTGCTTGTAAAAAATGTCATCATAAGAGTAAGGCAGATGAAAGAGTTCCGTGCCAAACCTCCATAACTTAACAAATCAAGCCAAGTTTTATACTCTAGTTCGTGCAATAGAATTGGCGACATTCTGTCCAAGAGAATAGATGAATGCAAGTATTTATTTATAAAAGTTACCTTTGTCGAATTTTTTAATTAATTACTTACGCGTAATTTTAAATATATTTTACTATATACAATCAAAAGGAAATGGAATTTCGGTATTTTGCATGTAAAATGTGGAGTAGTAAACTCGGTTTCATGAAGTGTTGGGTAAATTGATTTTTAAATGTAGAAATGTGTACGATAGATGGAAGATTTCACATGTTGCATTTAATTTATTTGGATGCACATAATGAGTATTTTTGTTTGATTTTAGTTGTGAAACAGCTATCCTTAATTGGCTCTTTGTAAGCGCCTAAAAAATATTAAAAAGTATCCATTCATACATAATGTTCTTTTGGTATAGGCATAATCAAAAGACATCATAAAAAGATGAAAACAATACTTGAAAGGCTCGATTAAATTAAAAACAAATTATATGTTAAATAATTTCTATGTCTGTATAACATACAATATCTAAAAATACCATCCAAATGATAAAATACTAGTATATTATAAAGATTTGGGTTTTCTTTTGTTTTTTAGACTTGGATTACATGTTTTATTGCGTACAAAGAGACAAAAGGTTAACGATCGTTTGGATTGTCTCAAATTTCTAGGGTATAACGAGGACTTTTTTTTGTAAAGTTACAGTCCAATTTGTATATTTATATTACTTTTTTATGTATATATACACGAAATTAGGTTACATACATCGTAAGAAAAAAAATCTGCCAGCATTTCAAGGTAACAGTGGAAATCGATGCAATTTTGCATAGTTTAAGGATTTATCAAATGCTTTAAATAAGATCTTAACTTTGAAAATAAGAATGCATGTTTGTATCGATCAACTAGAAATAGAAGTTATTTGATATTTTAATAGAACAATTAACTTTTGTCTATTTTATTGATTATTGTGATGACATGCAATAACTGATAGATAGACGTCTTTTATCATAGGTCATCTATAAAAATAGGAATATACATTCTACATCAAATAATATTCAAAACGTGATTCCTTTTGCATTTATTATTTATTATTTTATCAAATTTTATTGATCAGAATTATAGAGAAATTTAACAACAAATCTTTTTCAATGATCATTGTATCCTTAACCTATGTATCATGTTTTGTTTCCAAATTCAGCAACTTTATAAATTAGCATAAAGAAATTAACTGGACACAATTTTAAAGGAAACATTATTTTATATACTCTAGAGATTTCATGTTGATTCATAGTAGTACTTTAAAATTCGAATTTAATTTGTTTTGTTTAATACATTTGTTGTTTTCTGGCACCAAAATAAATGCTGACATGTTTGTGTTAGTCATTTTACAGCTAATGTATGTAATGTAGCGTGATACCGACATGATATTGTATGCACCTGCTTGAATGACAGCACAACTAAAACCTAGACCAATGTTGTATTTTAAAATAACTTTAAGGAATGGTCAAAATGAAGTGTCAAATGAATACGAAAACACCATTATAACCTAAAATGTTTTAAGACTTTTAATTAGGATATAGGATTGGGTGAGGTTGGAATCGGCCTAAGCAAAAGCATTGGTTCTGGTCGGGGAAAAAAGTAATATTAGTATTAGGAGAGAATATATCATACGAGGGTATTCAATCAGCTAGGAATCAGTAGCATAAATAAAAGCACATAGTCTCTGGTTTGATATATAATTAATAAGTGGAATATAAATTATTATAATAAAGATTGATATAAATAAAGATAATTATAAATAAAGATTATATGCAAGATATAAGATAGAAATCACCTGCATACCTAATTAGTATTATAACCTATAAACCAAAGCTAACTCTCGGTAGAAATAAAACAATCCTAAATGACATCTCATACCTAATATATGTTTTGTTTTTCTTTGACAACTGGGATGAATTTTAAATTTCATCATCAATTCTAAATATAATGCGACCTTGACCTTAATTATATTTTCATTTCGTATACACTCCGTTGATTTTGATAGTTAAGATCGAATACCTAGCTACGCGCTATTTAATTGTATACTTTTTACAGCCAAATAGTACTAGCAATTGATCACGGAAGGCAAAAAAAGTGGACGTATCAAGAACTACAGCACAGCACTAGTTACTTTCAGTATCTACATCCTTACTTATCTTCACCAACTATCGCCTTCTTTATTATTTAATTATTTATTTATCTTAGACTTCAAATAAACAAACATACGCTATATATTGAATGCTCTGTTCTAGTAGAAAGACAGTATCGATTTGTAAAACAATATTATACGATGGGACCAGCTATCGGCTAGTGATATGTAATGTTTATGTTTACCAATATCACTGCAAAACATTCATTAACAATACCACGATATTAATTGCTAAAGTTATTGTCTTATTCGTCAACATGTCATAATATGGTGTATTTGTATTGTATGCAAACGACAATTATGATGGTGATGTGCAGCAGTCATTAGTGACTAAGGGGAGATAATCAGAAATCAAGATTTCACCATGCTACAATTGCCTCATGTCTAGAATGCATTGATTAGCATACACCAGGTCTGACTGTCACTTGTATTTATTATTCTATTCTTTATCTTTTCAGGTCTGGTTTAAAAACCGCAGAGCAAAATGGCGAAAACGAGAAAGAAACATCGAACCATTCAAGAATGGATTCGGATCACAGTTCACTGGTTTCATGCAACCACCGTTTGATGATGGTTTATACACGGGTTACTCCTATAATAACTGGGCAGCCAAGGTACCCAGTCCATTAGGCTCGAAATCCTTTCCTTGGGGACTGAATATGAACTCACAAATGAATCCTCATTTATCATCAGTAGTATCAACACAACCATTAGGATTCTCGTCTTCCCCTAGTAATATATCTAGTATAAACTCTATGGTTGGTAGTGTACCTAGTGTATCTAATATGAACTCACCTACACCACCGTGTCCATATGCACCACCAGCCCCACCATATATCTATAATCGTGATCAATGTTCCAACAGTATCGCCGCTTTACGGCTCAAGGCTAAACAATACAGCCATTATCCATCAATGAGTCCCCGTCAACCAACGTTATCAGCTTGTCAGTATGCTACAGTTAATGGTGGACCAGTTTGATCCGGTTATTTACCAGTTGAATCCAGGTTTATCAAGTATTTATGGAAAGTTAAATAGGATCAGTTGGTTAATGTAGTACAACCAAGCCAAAAAGTGACTGAAACCTTTCCAAAGTCAAATCCGGAACGCTTACAGACTGGTTTACTGCCCAACTTAGAGGTAGTGATCTTCGTGTTTCATCAACGAATTAGCGATCGAAACTACACAAAACGGGGAAACTTGTACATAGGTGTACGTGTTTTTGTTATGTGATGAAAAACATTAGTGTTCGTTCTTGCCCAACATAGAGTAATTCTGTTGTGGTCCATTTTATTCTTCTTACTTTATTTTTAATATTATTAATAAGGTAGGGCGTTGAGGATGAGCTCTAGAATGTCAAGTCTTGTGACATCTATATGATCAACAAGTCCATGTGATTGGTCAAGCCTGGACATAATCTAGAGCAGGATAGATAGGAGATGACCTTTCGTGAACAGTTTAGATTTTTCTGATATGGAGGACTGGTAAATATCACCCTTATCGCTCTCGTTTTGAAAATACTTCCGACGTAGGATAACATTAGAAGGGAAAGCAGCTGTTGGATTTTGCAAAATTTAAAATATCATTACTGTTTTATTGAATTTTGGTGAAAACAACTTATTCCTCCACAATTTGTACCACATTTTCTCTATTTTCACCTCCAAATTATCATGTTATTTTTACTAACATTACTTGTTTCGATTAGTACTTACAAATGTGTTACAAAAATTTAGCCAGAAGCCAAAAAGATGTTAATTACCTTTGAAAACGACTTTATTTAAATGAATATATTATGTTGATTGTTGATATAAAATGTACATCGTTTAAATGTGATGTTTGTTTTCATTTCATTATACCTTTATGCCACTTGCTGCATGTATAATACCAAAGTATAGATTAATTTAATTTAAGACGAACATATCACAATATTAAAGGAACATGACTGGTTTTCTATTTGCAGACATTTATAAATTCTCAATTTGGAACTATAACGTATTTGATTTTGAATGCCTCTAAATAAGAATATCAAGACAATTAGAAACGTTGTGGTCCTTTAAGATGTTAGTTTCTAAAATTAGAAATGAACAGTGCTATTATTACAAGAAGTCCTAAGACCCTAGTATAATATTACTATGTAGGGATCATTATGACTTGTAATTGTATAGTAATAAAAATATAGTTAATCATTTATAATGGTCATGAAATTTAGTAGATTAATTGTTTTTCTTATAGAAATATGTTTAATAAATTATGATAATATGTGTATATTTAATGGTGTTTATTTGTGTGTATAATAACTATAAAAAATATTATAGTGCAGCTTGTTTGAAGTGATGGTGCGATCTCAGTATGGGTCTACTATTGATCACTCAACTATGAACTGAAATTCTATTTTTATTAGAACCCTTCAAACACATTATTTCAAAGATGTTCCCTTCGATGCTTAAGGCCCAAACAAAAACTTTATTTTAAAGATGTCCATTCAACGCTTAAGGCCCAACCTAGCACTTTAACGACTGATGCAGAATGCCGTTTAACTGATACGAATTAGAGTCAATTTCAAACAGATTTTATCAGTTTACGATTCAAACACCCGCTTCTGATTGTGTCAGTCTACCGATTGTGCAACAACAATGGCCACAGATTTGATTCAAAGATATTTGAAAGCTGTGTTGAGCGAACAATTCTTGTACGGAGTGCATAAGCATGAGACATGACTATATAAGCTCTGAAAACAGATTTCAAGTATATACACCTGTCCACCACATAGTACTTAGTGAGCTCAGAAGATCACACATCTCTGAAGGTAAACAGAAATGTCTTGACGTCTTGCTGTCTTTAACAGACGAACGTACCCATTGATGAGATATTGGTTGCATAATAAAACATGGTTATTATATACTGATTATGGGATATATATTACAATTTTCAACACAAAACTTCGACCTGATAATTCAATTCTAATTAAACCAAAAAAACACCAAGACTCTGACCCTAACTCACATAAATAAAGAGTCGTGAAAATATATACGGCTCTCTATAAACTATGCATTATGCAAATGACATAAGCCGCCTGGCATATATTATCTGGCATACACTTATGCTTACTGATATAAACTAAACACTGTCCGACTTGGACGTGAAACAACAGGTGGCCGCTGCAAACACCACTGTCTGATTCTTTACACTAATCTTTAACCAACTGATATAACACTGTCTGACTTTGATATAAAATGGCTGACTTATAGCCACTGTAGCTGGCAGACCCTGATAAAAATCTATAGTTGACTGACAATATACATTGTCTGACTCTGATATCAATCTATAGCTGACTGGCATTATATACTGTATGACTTTGATATAAATCTATAGTTTCCTGATACTATACACTGTCTGATTCTGATATAGATCTGTAGCTGACTGACATTATACACTGTCTGATTCTGATATAAATCTATAGCAGACTGACATTATACACTGTCCGATTCTGATATAGATCTATAGCTGACTGACATTATACACTGTCTGATTCTGATATAGATCTGTAGCTGACTGACATTATACACTGTCTGATTCTGATATAGATCTATAGCTGACTGACATTATACACTGTCTGATTCTGATATAGATCTGTAGCTGACTGACATTATACACTATCTGATCCTGATATAGATCTATAGCTGACTGACATTATACACTGTCTGATTCTGATATAGATCTGTAGCTGACTGACATTATACACTGTCTGATTCTGATATAGATCTATAGCTGACTGACATTATACATTGTCTGATTCTGATATAAATCTATAGCTGACTGACATTATATCCTGTCTGACTTTGATATAAATCTTCAGCTGACTGACAATATACACTGTCTGATTCTGATATAGATCTATAGCTGACTGACATTATTTACTGTCTGATTTTGATATAAATCTACAGCTGTCTGACATTATACATTTTCTGATATAAATCTATAGCTGCTTGATATAAAACTTTGTCTGACCCGGATATAAAATACAACTGACTAATGTAAACATAGAACGACTCTATAGCTGAATGATGTTAAACACTGTCTAAATCTGATATGAATCTAAAGGTTTATTGACATTTAAAATTTTCTAACTCTGATATGAATCTATAGTTTATATGACATCTATAGCTGACTGACATTATAATATACTGTCTGACTTTGATATAAATCTATATCGTTGTCTGACATTTTATACTGTCTGACTGTGATAAAAATCTTTAGATGACTATTATAAACATTGTCTGACTCTGATATAAATCTATAGCTGATTCTGATATGAATCTATAGTTGACTGACATTATATTGTGTCTTAAATCTGATATTAATCTATAGCTGTCTGACGTTATATATTGTCTGACTCTGATATTTGATCTGGCCTTGATTGAGGAAAAGTATGAGATACTATGATTACAATTGGAAATAGTTTCTATACAAATAAATAAATATAGTTTACTGGATATATACACAATACAGTCTGTGTCTTTGATGTCAATGTTGATATAAGCAAAGAATGCCTTTAATTTTGAATAAAAAAATATGAAAAAACTACCCACTTTACATGCACGACATAATGATTGAGTTAGACACTTTCTAATTAACATGATTTTAAATTTGGATTAGACAGTTTCACAATAGTTGACAATTTAAGATTTTAAAACGATGGTGTACTTTATAACAATGCACTTTAAGAGGAAAAAAGTCCTTCACATGCTGAATTTTTTGTACTTTCCTTTTGTAACCTCTGGCTTTGAAGTAAACCGGATGAATGTAATATCCCATGTAAAGAACTGTGAATTGTGACATGCACCGGATTGGAAACGGTTTTTTCCTTTTTCTTCCACTCTGATTATTATCTTTTGCATGTTTATCTGATGGGTTGCATCTGCATGTTTGGTTTAAACAATACCATTATTGTAATTCGTGATATACCGATTGTTTTTTCTTTTTCAATATCGTTGCATATTGCATATCATGAATTGTGCACCTAATCCAAATACATGCTTGAATAACCTTGGACAGTAGTCATCACTTCTGGATTTTATTTTAATTTTAAAAGTGTCATCGGCAGCAAATGTTTCCTAATAGCAACGTTGGTTCACATAGTTCCATTGTCATAAACAGTATTTTCTTATTAACTTGAACAAAACATATTTACACAATAATAAGGAGTTTTGATTAAAATCTTAGTTAACAACATAAAACCAGTGTAACTAGGGTTATGACATCTATTAATAATCTTTTGAAATATATTAATATTATGACTTGATATTGCTCCTGGCAGTAAGCTTCCAGGAACTTCGCCATAGACTGCCAAATCCAGATGTGATTTCTCACACAATACGCCTCACTGAAGTTATTTGTTTTCAGATAAAACAGACAGAAATTGTATTTTACGCCTGTTAATTTCTAATTTATTCTTAAAATCAATAATTTCTAACTTTTAATTACAATGATTATATAATTAAATGATTATTAATTACATTAAAAACAAAACAATGAAAATATATGCTGTGTAAGTTTTGATTTATGCAAAAATCTAGAAAATTGTCTTCAGAGATAAGAGAAAAACACTTGAAACCAGTCAAAACTTCTCAGGGTACAGTTTATCAGTGCCAAAACTTATTAAGACCTATAACGTATCTATCATCAATATTTCATGATTTTTTGTTCACTGGTTTCTCTTCAAAGTTCATTATAATAGTACAATTCGAATATCTATCTTTAGAAATGAAATGAAATTGAACTAAAAGGACAGGTGTGTCATTTTGGGGGGTTGATTTGAGTCTTATGTATATGTATAACTGTGGACTAATCTACTATGTCCACTCTTATTCTATGGACATGTCATCTAAAGAAAGGATACATCTTGCGATTAAAAAAGACGATTAAAAAAACATACTTACTGATTCCTGATTATTCTTAACTGGCATTAAAGGCGTTTGGGG